CCCCTTCCTAGTGCTCCCATGTGTGCTGTTATTTTACTAAAACAGGTTTGTAATTAAGCTTAGTTAGCTGTTAGATAACATTATGATATATGTATGGCATGTCTCAAAATATCCAGGAGGTGTCAAGGTTTTACCGATATGTAATTCATAATTAAATTTAAGGAATCTGAATGTACGCCAATCATACACAGAACTAAGAACATAATACAAGCGCCCTGGTAATTTTGTTTAATGTCACTAAAAATGTGATTATATGTAAGATCACAGTTAGGGTTAAGTTCACAGGTCAGTCTAAATCATTTAGTGATTTTGCAAAGTGTATTTTCGGGGGACTTGGGAGCAATGATGGAAACGGCTCTAAACTTCCAGGTGGGACGACCATAAGCTCTGGTCACACTGCTACGAAAACGATCTCCATCCACACAGGAGTTTTCATGTCATATATGAATTATTTCCATCCATATTGACATGAGCAAAAACATATATGAACTAGATATTAGCCTACATTGGACATGCGAACATCAACGCGCTGGTTGGTAAATTTGTTTCTTTTGTGCAAACATGCAGCAGCCATACAGAGTAACATGCTATGTAGCTGCATACAGGTCAGCAATGGGAAAGATCCTTTGAAAGCAGCTCCACTATATCTGCCATGCTGGAATTTACTTCCATGTAGGGTGACCAGGTGACCAATCAGACACTGAGAGGGTGTAACTAGTGGGATCAATTCAGGGATGGGTCATGTGATGAGTAAGGACCAATTAGAATGCCTTTAGAAACTGCGTTTTTCATCAGTCTCCGTTTTCACTTATCCACACTGAAACGTTCAAACTGAGTTTTCAGAAGTATATACGGCCATGACAGTGTTTACAAAGGTTTTGTGGGGCTGAAAACTCTGGGGTTGTGTAGGCAAAATGTGAATATGGAGACTAATATCTGCGTTTTTAAATGAAAACATAGCACTGTGGATATAAGCAGAATTAGGATTTCGGCCTATCAGTCTAACTTTCTCCTCCAGTACGTTTCCTGTTCCTTTCGTGTTAAAGCTGCTGGTTATTCAGCAGTCCACCATAGCTAAAGTGAAACCCTGCCAATCCACAGCATCTACACAAAATCAGAACCTCATGTTGAGCAATAGCCAGCTAAAAGTGATTCAAACTTAATGTCAATCAAATCTTATGCTCTTACCAGCTGATCTACAGGGGCAAACGTTGTATCCAGGCTGACAATTCTGAAATGAACTACAAAGAAGGAAGAGATCCGGTAACATGACTTAGTGAATTCAGACACATTAGAGTTCCTTTTAGCCAGTATTAGCCTGTATCTTTATTCACAGGGTTTTTGGCATAAAATCCTGTTTGAGGCCAACAAGGTAGCAGACAGACACAAAAGTGTTTGTGACCCAATAAGATAAAAAGCCAATTGTTTGTTATCTAAGGCAGTGCCCCAGATTTCTGGCATGACTGGTTATTCAGACGACTGTAATTAATGGCCAAAGCAGTTTGTCTGTGTTTAGTTTTACCCACCAGAAACAGAGATTTTAAAAGAGAGTAAGAAAGAGGAAAATACCTGTCTGCCCAGGCTTGTAAATGGGTTTGTCCGTCTGAATGAATGATATTGGGGTAGCTGGCTTTATCCGGACATTGGTCTCCTTCACCAGTTGAAGGTCCTGTCCACGTAACTCCACCCTAATTACTTGGATGGACTCCACACTCACTTTGGGGGGCTGTGTGGAGGATGGTACAAGCGATCAGCATAGCTCTACACCTATTTAAACCTCACAACAATATATTTCAGAATCACCTAAATTTAATACTTTAGGAGAAACTTTCTGTCTTTTATACCCTGGATGTAAACATTCATGTTTGTGCTGAACAAGGCCAACACTGTACTACTGATTTCAGACCATAGTGCAGTGTGGACAGTCATTTTTTGACCTCCGTGATCAGACTGCTACCTGTGACGCACCTGAAAGTGAGAGCACTGGTAGATGTCTTTGTCTGAATGCACCTCCTGCAGGACCGTGGTCTGGTTCCCGTCCACCAGCGACACAGTCAGCTGCAGCATTTCATTGACATGAAGCAAGAGGCTACAGAACTTCGTCTCGGAGCCGGTCGGAATTACCCCCGGAAACGTCACCAGGAAGGAACTGCGAAAGGAGTCACACTGTTCGACCAGCTGTCCGAAACGTAAAAAACCTTTCATTAAATCTCAGACTGGGGGAAAGGTGTCACCTTCCCCCAGGCAGCTCCTCACATTGGTTCTGTGTTAAAGTTACACACTTTAATATTTCGTTGGACCACCTTTAGCGCTGATTATGGTGCACATTCGTCAATGGTTTGTTTCCGTGTGCTTATGCAACACCTCAACATTTTTTTTTCATCCAGACACTAACCATGTGTGAAAATGATTCCTTGTGCTACTGAACCACTCTTTGACAGTTCGAGCCTGATGAATCTTGGCATTATTGTCCTGGAATATGCCCGTGCCCGTGCCATTAGGAAAGAAAGAACCCATTGATGGGATAACCTGGCCGTTCAGGAGACTCACATACTCAGCCGACTTCACTTTACTGCTGTATAATGTTGCGGGTCTGTAATAATGATCCAGTCATTGACTCTTAAGTACTTGCTGTTTTAAATTCAGTCGGTGACATTATTTGGCCAGGTGGTGTACTCTCCCCTCCCCCCACAATGACTCCTGGTCCTAGAAAAACCATCATATAGACAGGAGATTCCTGCACGGTGTTCCTGAGGATTAAGTACATGGTTTATGAACTGGAATGAATTTGGGGAGGCACCTATATGATGAAATTCAGACTGACATAAAAATTTAAGTGGGTCAGGAAAAAAACAGGTACATAAACCCATGTGATTTCTGACTTTCTGTGCAGTATTTGGCTCCTTCTCAGAGATTAACTTTGACATACTTTGTGATGCAGACAGAAAATAAATGAATGCATTTTCCTTCCAAAATGACCAATTTGGGATTAACACCAAACGCACACTGCACCATGCAAATATCTAAATGTTTACTAATTAGTAAAGGAGGCAGATTCAGTTCTGCTTGTGGTTTGACTCTGATGAAATCCATTAAAGCCAATAAAATCAAGAAGATCAAACGACATATTGGGTGTCTTACCACATCTCTAGAGTAAACACTCATATGTCCTGTGAGAGATGAGTTCAGAGTAACACAGAGTAACACAGCTCACTTTCCAAACACTTAAAGTCTGACCTGAGAAATACTCTGTCTGTTTTCATGGATATAGGTATGGAGGTTTTACTTACGGGTCAGTTTGTGCTTGGCAGGCACAGAACAGGACACAGGCTGTGAATATTCTTCTCCACATTATGAAAGAGGCTTTACGTCTCCCAAGGCGAAGTCCATAAACCCACAACCATGGTCCAAACAAGCCTATATAGCCCGCCCTCTTTGCGGGGCGGGACAAAGAGATTTGCCAGCCCTCTAGTGTTGATAATTTAACTCTTGAGGAAAGATTATCTAATATGAGCGATAAAGTCACTACTTTATTCAAAGTTAAAAATCCTGCAATGGTTCTGGAATGGTCAACAATCAATCAGGCAGTTTGATGCAATCTTCATACCACAGTTATTTACCAAAGTCTAGCTTGTCGATTGCCTTTGTCCTGCCTTTTTTTCTAGAGCTGTTTAGCTGTTTAGCTATTGCTCTTTTCTTCCATCAGTTACCCAATTTCTCCACTTTACTAACAGACATCGCGATCATTGACCTGCTTTTATCAGTGTTTGGCCTCACAATCTGGTTTTTCATGCTGCAGCTTGTTCTCTGGGCCCCTGAGGTTAAAAATCACACTGCAGACATGTTGTTGTTCGCTTTTCAGTCAAAGCTTACACCAGATCCTGTATCAGTGAACACCAGGACCTGCAGCCCACAACAAATGGCATTTCTCAGGAGCGTCTGGGCCTACCTCAAGGGTTAAGCAAAACTGCGTCACATTAAGCAGGTCCTGCCCAGTCATGGAGGCTGAGGGACCTCACCACATGGTCAGTCTCACAGAGTGTACACTAAATGAGGCTAGTCACTCCCAGGACTGGCAGATTCTCAAATCATACACCTGCTTGGAAGGAGGCCCAGGTCATAGCTTACAGAGACTTGTGGTGCTCAGCTCCATCATTCATAGGCTTCAAACAGCCATCAATCAATTGCTGAAAGACAGGAACACTGACCGTGCATGAGACGGTGCTGTCTGGCTGCTGACCCGGCGAATCTGGAGCCTTTCACTTCCTCTTGTTTATTTTCAGTCTTGTGATGCTTGTTTGTGCTTAGGTGTTACGCGCCCAATATAACCAAGATGCTACGGCACCAAGCGCTCATTTATGTGCTCATTCTGTGGGGCTGCCGCCCTTGATCTCATTCCATTAGTCCAGGCTGCATACCAGAGGCTCTTTTTGCATCTCATTCAGCACAGTGCTCATTCAGCGGTGTTTTTAAGCACAGCGCTCATTCAGCGGTGTTTTTAAGCACAGCGCTCATTCAGCGGTGTTTTTAAGCACAGCGCTCCCGTCGTGCTTCCGAAGATCAGCTGATACGATATTTACGAACATGGGATCACTTTTGCAAACACCTAATTCATTATCTGCTGAACACTCACACCTTAGATGACCCTACAAAGCTATTTGTACAAACAGCAAATAGAAACAAGTAGGCCTGATAGGACCACGATCAGGAATTGAATAGAGATTCAATCCATAGTTCAATAACTAACGCAATGTGTAGCACTGGATTCTCTGCAGTGTCGTGATGCTGTAATGCTATATATAATATATAATGCTATATACTGCATGCCCTTACACTTTGTAGGTTCTACCCAGGCACTGACACAAATAGTAAAATTAAGGGTTTCAGCAGCCCCATCATCGCCCCCCACCCCCCGCCCCCATCAGAAAAATCTACTGAGGGGCGGCTGATCATACGCTGCCGGACACTCCATGAAATGCATTTCTGACTACAGGCACAAAAAAATCCACCACAAAGAATCAGTAACAATTTATTTGACGGGCACAATAATATAGTATTATGGCAATTTCTTAGTTTTTAATTATTCACAAACTAAGTCTTAATTACATACTGGTCTCATGTTAATTGATCAATAATGAATTATGACGCATATTTTTATCTGAAGCAGTTACTATATTTGTTACTATATATATATTTGTTAATTCTGTAAACCTTTGTGAACTACTCAAGGAACAAGACACGAATAACACAACGTAAATACTGATGTCATGTTTGTTCGTCATTAATGCATGATGCAACTTGTATCCCAAGCAATGACTATATTTGTTACTATATCTGTTAATTCTGGGAACTTTTATTAACTATACTGAAGGAACATATCATTAATAACACAAGTGAAATGCTGATCTCATGTTTGTTCATTAATGAATCGTGACGCATCTTTTCTCAAGTAACGACTACATTTGTCAATGATTTGTTCATAAGAAGTAACTGAGTTATTAATAAGTATTTGTGCCCTGTCAAGTGAAGCGTTATAATTACCATCGAGTCTTACAACGCGCAGACTCGCCTAACCGAGTTCGACTCAGATATTTGCATTAACTGTAATTCTCTGGTTTCCCGGAGATATTTAGCTAACAACGTAAATATTAGCTCATCGGATCTTGATTGCGATGTTACCACGACCGCACAAACCCATCTGTCAGCTCAAAATAGTTACTGATCTGCTCGTTTTCCCCGTAAAAACCTTACCCCACCGCACTTTTTTTTTTTACTTCTTTCTATACATTCTTCACAGCACTCACGTTGCCAAACATTTTCTTTTATTTGTTTAGGTTTCATGCGAATAAGTAATGGAAACTGGATAATGTTCTTTGGTTAAGGAAAGCGCTTCAGTATTATCCTGAGTAAGCTAGGCAATCGTTTGCTATGGTAGCCTGCGTTTGGCATCAGAGATAGGCTATTTAAAACTCAGCAAGCTCATAACCTACCGAAGAAAAACGTGGTTTAAAAATATGCCTAAATGTAGAACGTGTTCAGTGCGTGAGGCTTGGGTATCTGTATACAGCTGTCGGTTACAAAGTTTACTCGTTTAGTGTTTGTTAAGGATCTATGTCTGGTCAAATAGTTTTTTGTTTATCTTTTAAAAATACATACCTTTACCCTTAACCGTTTTCTTTCCAGTTAAAAGAGTTTATATTCAATGGGCCATATAAGTGACACATTTTACACCTAGTCAGCTGGAGAGAAGGTGTCATTGTCAGTGTACTGCTGTTTTCTGCGTCGTCCGTCGGCAGCTCCACATGTAACTCTTGCATGGCCGAAGAGGTCCGCGTCATTCTGGATGCGTCACTGCATACCCAAGATCCCTGCCCTGCCCTATTGTCCTCAAGCCAAGAAGTCATAGCAGGTCAGATATAAGAAAAATGAACTTTTTATTTACAGTAACGTGCATTAGAGTAGATCTCTCTATCTTTTTCTTTGCAATAACCTCTGATAACACTTTCTATGAAGTTTTATGTCTATGAAGTTTCTATGAAGGTTTATAATTCCTGCACCATGCCTCACCCCCTAGCCCACGCAGACAATAGCTGGTGAAAAGCAAGATGTTTTTGAGCCAACTTCCCTCCTTCTAGCAAGTTCTGTTCAGCTTGGATTTTTTTGGTGCTGCCTAGATTTTTTTTTCTCCATTTCTGTATGTCTGCTATTAAAGCTTATATTAATAAAAGCAATGCATGCCAATTTAGTGGAACACCAAGATCTTAGGTCATCTTGTACAATTCCTGGGATATACAATGGACATTTAAATTCAACCAATCAGCAATCTTTCTTTTGACAGCAAGGCATGAGTGAATCCAATGACAAGCAAGATAGGATTTTAGAATGTAGCTCTGCACTAAAATTTTGCTTTGCAGTACATGCAGACAGCATGTTTGTAATCCTGCATTAAAATTGTATGCAAAATACACACAGATTTCATTGAGCTTGGGGGGCTAACTTAACCCTATGTGGGAAGTGACTCTGGGGCTGTGGGAGTGTCCCATATGCCTCTGACAGTTCTCTTAAAACAAACTGCCCCTGACAAATGCACTGTTTTAATAATATCATGTAAGAGAGAATTATGTTAAGATTCTTAACGTAATTCTCTCTTCCATGATATTATCAAAATATATCTAGTTAAGATAAAGCAATCATTAAATGAAGCTTGCTTTAACTTTGACCGGTGAAAACTACTGAAGGCACCCCCCCCCCCCGGGCCACTGAGGTGGACCTAAGCCAGAAACCCCGCAAATTGCATTTCTGGGTAAAGGCCTGAGACAATGGCACAATGGTGGGACAAAGACCCATGAAATTAACTAGAAGTCCTATTTGTTTTGTTTATGCTATGATAAGCAAGAGCTGTTTTACTCAAAAGGCAAAGCAATAAATATAATTCCGACAATAATACAGGCAGACCATCGACATCTGTAAGGGGTTTCTAACCTCGATGAAATAGCTGTGTGTTTCATATAACTCTTTATGCTGGCATCTACAGATCAATTTCTGCATATTCAACATGATACATTTAATCCCTGGATCAATATCTCAGCAGGTCCTATGATCGCCCTGCTTACGAGTTCTCAGTTTTCTGCACTTAGTGGGGGCAGCCATGCCACCAACCTGATAAACAGACATGCGTTACTTCTGCTTTCACTTCCTCTTACTGTCTGAGTTTTCATTGGGGGATCACTCTGTATCGCTGCTCTCTGGTTATACGGCTTGCATGTTCTCCCTGTGTTGTGGCTGTAATATGGTTTATAATCCAGTGCAGTTATTAGTCCCGCAACTAATTTTCTGTGTTCCTTGAGTGTCATCACATAGCATTGTAAATCACAACCATAGATCGTAGCAAGGTTATTATCGTCAACGAAAACGAACGAAATAACGAAAACTAGAATTGAAAAAACATTTTCGTTAACTGAAATAAATAAAAACGACAATTAAAAGAAAAAACGATAACTGCCTATAACTGTATTGTGCGTTGACAAAACTAACTAAAACGTACTGAAATTATAGATGAAATGTCCTTCGTTTTCGTCTTTGTCAATTTATTTGTAAGTCGATTTATTTCGCTCTAGCAGTTTTACGTGAGCTGGCGGCACCGTCCTGCACCTCTCTGTCCGTCACTTCTCGTTTACAGTCGGCTTTTGCTCACCGCATTACCTGGAAAAATGGCGTGAGCACAGCCTTACTATGTGTGACAAGCTGCAGTGCACAGTAAAGATCAGCTAGTGTGAGCACAGCCTTACTATGTGTGACAAGCTGCAGTGCACAGTAAAGATCAGCTAGTGTGAGCACAGCCTTACTATGTGTGACAAGCTGCAGTGCACAGTAAAGATCAGCTAGTGTGAGCACAGCCTTACTATGTGTGACAAGCTGCAGTGCATGTTTTATCAGTCCGTGGT